ACTGTATTGAATTGAATTGAATTGAATTGAAACAGTTTATTTCGCCAGAAAAACACAGATACAAAGTGGATAATAATAACAATATTAACATGGCTGAGCCAGTTGAGAACTTGAGCTCTCTTTTAGGCACCTGATATATACTATACATTTATCTCAAAGAAGTATTATGTAACATTTAGTATCATCTGGAATAGTACAATAGCATGGTGGTAATAAGAACATCTCATAATGTTACCACAAAAGTTAGCTGAGAACCCCAATTTTGCTCTCTCTCTCTCTCTCTCTCTCTCTCTCTCTCTCATAAAATCAGAATTTCTCACATTCGTTTGCTCATTTCTCTTCAGTTTATATGACGACAACTTCCTGACTGACTCTCATAAGCGCGGAGGCAAAATTGACGGCAGGGTTTACTTCTGAATTACGCACTGACTGATACTATTGTCTCTCAGTCTCAGTTAGGGGAAATAAACATAATGTACGAAGCTTTGTGAATTCTGCTCAGTCTTTGAACAATGTTTCGACAATGGTCATGAATGTGTCTTTATATGGTTACGATTTCCCCATAAGCGGTCGTGAGTGTTCGTGAACCCAGATCCAGACAAAGCCATATGGTTACACAAGATAAAGGAAGCGGGAAAAATTAATTAAGAGGGTCAAGGGGTTGGCGGTGTAAGCTGCAGGGAAAAATAAACAAATGTGTTGACATGGAGGTCGAGCGTGGCCGTGATTGGTGGAAGCTTACACAACATGCAGGGAGGAACTGTTGCGAAGAGGTGTAAAGCACGAAGCTATTACGGATAAATATAGTACAAGAAGACCGGAGCAGAAAATTATCGTGTAGTCTGAACTAGAATCAAGGAAAACATGTACATTAGTTCTCACACGCGGCAGAAGACATAATCTTAAGGAATTTTTACAAAGATCATGAATGGTGTAAGGCTCTCGTCACGATAGAGTCCCAGCTTATTTCACCTGATAATTAAACACCACATTGTTAACCTAACCTAACCTAACCTAACCTAAGCAACCCATTTAGCGAATAAGTGCTAAAACTGTTAAAAATCATCAGGTGAAATAAATGAGTTTTCCTAATCTTCCTGAGGAGTTTACACATCGACCCTGAAAGAAATGTTACGGAGTTTATAAGAATTAAAAGGAAATATATACTAGTAACATGAAGTACTGCATCACATATTATAGAAAGGACACTAAGACGATTTTTTGTAGTGTTTATATGAGTAAATCATCTCCATAATCGTTATTGACAAGAATAAATAAAACAAAACATTATTATTAAACACAACAAACACTTAACAGTCAACAAACACCATTCATAGATAATAACTACCATAACTACCACTGAAATAAACACAACAATCAGTCCTAACAAACAGCACTGACATACAAACCAAACACAACGAACGGGAACACACGTGCAGTTAGTATCTTACCTCACGACAAATTACTGCGTCACACATCACTTGATCTGCCTCATGCCTCTCTCTCTCTCTCTCTATCTCGCCCGCGTGTGTGTGTGTGTGCTTGGCATTGTTTATTCGTATGTGTGTATAAGTGAGTGTGTATATTCATCAACCTAATTTACCTAACGGCCACCACAACGAGAGTCGGCCAAGGTGAGAGGAGGACGATGGCCTGTGTTAAAGATCCCTTCATTCCTTATACTACCGTTCCTGTCTTATGATTATTTTCTATATCATATCTACTATAATATTAACACATTAAAATACAATCAAACCGTTCATGTTTACATATGACGTCACAGGCTAAATATCATTACTATTTCGCTGAGTCATGGTCAAGACTAACGTATATAATTCGACTCAATTAAAGGTTAAGCTAGTTTGTGATCACACCTGGGAAATGTGGTCCAATATGGCCTTTCGTTCACAGCTGACGTGAAGTTCTTTCCTAAAAATCATCGCAGCATTAGGGTGTTTAATCATCTGTTGAAATAAGCTGGGGTTCCCAATCTTAATGGAATCCTTTTTATACCATCTAAAGATTGTACTATTTTGTGGTATTGTTGTATCTTACTGACGTTTAACCTACACTTTGAAGTGTTCTCACATTTTAAAACGTCTTTACTACTGTCTAAAACCTTAATAACTTTTCCTTTTTATCCAAGTTTTCTTCTGTCCGCCAGAGGACCTGTGAGAGTGTAACATGTCATCGACTTCTTGTTTTATATTTTCTCAAACTCAAGATTTCTCCACCCATTTATTGTTAAATTCGATTATTCGTTCTCACCTTGTAACGTAAATGTAGCCCCAACTTATTAAACTTTCTCCGCCTTTCATGACAAGTGGTGTACCGCAAGGCAGTGTGCTTTGACCAATATTACTCGTTTGTTTCAAACTGTGTCCATATGCTTTTAATTTTTTCTATCCCAATTTTTTTAGATGACACTAAGTTTATCAGAGAATTTAGATATTTAACGGACTGTGAAGCGTTAAAAGACGATTTCCCTCAGCTCCAGATGCGGTCAAAGGAAAGGACTTGACGTTACTAGGGAAGCGCATCACCTGTCACAACGGGAAGACATTTCCTCAGCTGAAACTACAGTAGATATGAGAAAGATCTGGATGTTTATGTTGACAATGAACCGAAGTTCTCGGACAATTGCTAATTAACTGGTGGGACTTACAAGATCCTACACACACTTAGATGGTCCGTTCCTCACAAGGCTGTTCAAGTGTATTACACCTTCACCTGGTCTCCTAGGTATGTTAAACTTGAAATAATATACCAGAGAAAGTTGTGATAAGTGGTGAAGAGGATAAAGTAACTGCCTTAATTAGCTGGGACACAAGAAGGCGGCACAAGCAGCATCAACTGCAACGATTCCGCGGTCACAGCTGCCCTACACGTACACCAAACTTATCCTCTGAACCTACCTCAAGGCCAGCAAGTCCTGCAGGCCACGGTCCAACATCTTTTTTCTCCACTATGAATAAAAGCAGTAGGTGTATCATACACTCTCTCATGTTTACTACTCTTTACCAGTGAGAACTCAGACTTTAGAATTTTGCTTTCATCAAGACAACCAGTGAATGAACAGCTGTTCATAACCACTGTACACTGCTCAACGTTAGCGTCACCCAGTGTGTGTTTGAATTTGCAACATTTGCAACATATATAACAGAACCAAGGTGTGAGGGCCGGAGACGTGAGGTCATCGTGTAGTCTCTCTCTCTCTCTCTCTCTCTCTCTCTCTCTCTCTCTCTCTCTCTCTCTCTCTCTCTCTCTCTCTCTCTCTCTCTCTCTCTCTCTCTCTCCAATATCCGCTTCTTTGCCATATCAGAGAAGATCTAATCTAAAGGGTCAAACTAATTCAGGACCGGAACCCGACCGTTTATACAATGATGATATCGAGTTCAGGCCGGGCAGGCAAGGTTAGGTTAGGTTAGGGTAGGGTGAGTTTGGAGTTGATCAGGGTGTGTTAGGTAATGATTAGATTACCTTCTTAGTAGATTAGATAAAATTACATTGAGCTTAGGGTTAATTAGGTTAGGTTCGGTTAGACTAGTTTCAGTTAGGTTACGTTACGTTAAGTTAGGTCACTTTTAGTTAGGTTAAGATAGTTTTAGTTAGGTCAGGTTAAGTTAGGTTAGTTTAGGTTAACTTAGAATAGGTTAGGTTAGTTTAAGTTAGGTTAGGTTAGGTTCATTAGGTTAGGCTAGGCTAGTTTTAGTAAGGTTACAAGTATAGAAATGTGTCAGTCTTAAAATTAGACAAGACACAAACGATCCCTCGGTTAAATTATGCTTGGGAAGATGGTTAAGTTACGACCAATGGCTGTGGCTTTGTAAACCTCAAGAGTTAACTTCACACAGAGCAAGACCATTGTGACCTAACCAGTACACTTATTTTGATCTTTCATGTGAAATATATATTAATAACCTTAACATAATTATCTTGGAGACCGAACTTAACCCACATACGATTGGGTTAACTTGGAGACCAAACTTAACTAACACACGATTACTTTTATCTCAGGAGTTAAACGTATCCTCTAACTTATACTGACTGAGGCGAAGATTAAGTAGCATAAATACACACGTCAAGTTTGGTGTTGTGATGGATGTTTCTGTCTGTCTGTCTGTCCGTGGATTAGTTATCACTTTTTTTTGGTTTTATTGTTGATTTTCTTTCTTCTCGTCTTAAATATTCCTTCACTATCCTCGTCTGATATTCTCTTTATCTCTCTTCTTTAATCTTCCTTTGATTCCTTTAGTTTTCTTCTCTTTCCTTCTTTCTTCTTCTCATCTGTGTTCACTGTTTCATCTTCTTCTTCGTCTCCCCTCATTCCCTTTCTATTTCCTCTCCTCACCTTGAACCTCCACGTCTGTCTCTTCCCCCCCTTTCTCTCCTCCACATCTTCCCCTTCCTCCTTTTTCTCCACCCCCACCTTTCCATTTCTTCCTCTCTTCCCAACTTTTCTCCTTCCCTCCTCTTCCTCACCCCCTTACCTCCCCCTTCCTCTCACAACACTCTCACTCTTTTATGTGAACATGTTCCCTCCAGCAGCCTTGACAACAGCTATTAAGGAGAGTCATTAAATAAGTAGTTATTATCTGGCGATTACTTGTGTTAAGGACACATTTTGGCCTTGGTGAAGTCCTGTGTATGACTGTTGTTAGGGATCATGTGTGTGTGTGTGTGATATATATATATATATATATATATATATATATATATATATATATATATATATATATATATATATATATATATATATATATATATATATATATTGTATGTGTGAACTAAGTTGGGGTCAGCCATGAAATTCAACGCCCCACCCACATGACATCCCCCCTCCCCTCTTCCCTAGTAAAGAGGCCAAATAATCACCGTGACTCAAGTCTTATGAGTAAAACAGGTGGTGGTAGTGTTTACCTGACTCCCTGGAAAGCCTGACTAATAACGCTGAGTCACGTGACGGTGACGTCAGCGTCCCCTTCTCTTATAAAAAGGGGTTGGAGTTGGCTCTGTGTGACCACACTGAACCCAACCTTCGGGACCTTCACTCGATCATCCACCTCTGTCTCAAGACGGCCGCCTACTCCCTTCCCGTGTAAGAACCCAGCCTGATTGCGTCTAGAACTACAAAGAACTTAAATAGAACTTCCCTGAACTGTGTATTAAAGGCTCCAGAAACGGCAATATTTAAAGACAACTGAATTTATTCTTCAGATAGTCAAAAAAACCTTTAGTGATTTAGAGGGAGGACTTAAAAAGTTACCATGATGGGAAGTGTGTGTATAAGATTCCTGCTGGTGGTGCTGACGCTGGTGACTTCCTGGGCTGACGCTTTTCCTGACGGAGCCCCCATCGATGCCTGTATCTTGCCTAAGCCTAACAGACCTAACCACCAGGGAACGAAGCCTCAACCCCACGGCACACACAAACACTCCTTCACCGCATCCGACGAGTACTACGTCCCCGGCGCCGTCATACAAGGTGAGGCCCTCAACACTTGCCAGTTGTTGTCCTTCTCACAGGTTTCCTTTGTGTATGCTATACTGCCAGACTGGGGTCACTAATCCTAAGGGGGAATACTTAAATCTAATCTTAATTTCTAAGGGTCGCTGCCACCAGACCCCCTCTGGACAGCATGTAGCTCGTTAGGTAGCGTGCAGAGTGGACTAGGCATTGGGTTAGGTTTTTCATTGACCAGATCGATAAGGGGAAAGAAGGGTGAAACCACAACCTGTCTTAGTCCTTTCAAATGTTCCTTCTACTCACTTCAGTTCATTTTTGGTACTACCTAACCACAGTTCTTCTTGGTAGCATGTCGATGGTCTAGGCACATGGGATAGTGTAATTCTGATATCAGGGTCACTTGGACGGAAATAAGGGTAACTACTGTGGGAGAAATGAATACTCCTAAAATTCTCAAAGAACAAGTTTATTAATATAAAATCAAAGGGGCAAATAGATGTTGTTAACATATAACTACCAGGCTCAACTCCTGGGCCTATTGCAGACTCTGTATTCCTTATTTACTTATTTTCTTATTTACTCAACAGCAATTACTCAGATATTACACTCTTACCGTGCACCCTCTTACTGGTGTCACATTACATTACATCGCAGGACCAGTTCCTTGTCCTTACTCCCAATACACTAATACTGATACAAACACCGACATGGGTCCACCACCCAACATGGGGTAATTATTAACAAACACATACAACCACACTGTGGACCATAACTCCAAGGCCTGTCCCAGGGTATAGCACTGGCGCCTCTAACAACTACTGTTGTGGTCTGTTACACTCCGACACGAGGTGGGTCTGGGGTCCTCGGCCCACGAGGTAGAGTGGAGCTGATAAATCATGCCGAATCAGCACCATCACTCCTATATTGACCACTGCTGGGTATCCACCGGCTCAGAGCGACCGGCGGGTTTCAATTAAGCCCCTCGATCTGGGAACGAAGGTGAAAGATGATATGGGAGGTTTATTCCTCCCGCCTCGCACTGGTTTATATACCCCTGTGTTGCCAGCGATCGCTACTCACGCAATGACAGAAATTACAAACAATCTGGCTTCAAACATAGGTTGGATGCTCATATGAGCAATAGGGGTTGGGTGTAAACGGGACTGCCCGGTATGGGCCAATAGGCCCGCTGCAGTTTCCTCCATTCTTATGTTCTTATGTTCTTACTCATTCAAGGATGACCCTCACTTGACAAAGGTCTGGCGAATTACTAAAGTTGATTTACACAGACTAATTCAAGGTTGCGTTTGCCAGTAGAGAGTGCAATAAACGTAGTGACAACTGTGTTCGAAGGCGGGACTTACTGGGAGTGATCCTGAGGGTAAAACAGATGGCACCGAAAACTCTCCAAGAGATTCTACAAGCACGGTGGATTTGAATGTTGTAGCGTAATATGAATTAAAATAGGAATGACAATGATGCGCAGTACAATGCTAGATCATTTATACCAGAATAATTTATGACTAAAAGTAGAGTGTATCTTTCTTTATTTTGCTTTTATTTAACTAGCATAAATATTAAACTGACTGAACTAACTTCTTCATGAAATCATATGTAGACTTCTTTGTATTGTTTCAGGAGAATGTATAGATATTTTATGGTGAGTTTCGTAACATTCCGAATCCTGAGAATAAGAACTGCTACAGGTATTAGTATGTGCAGTATTCACCTTAAGGACATGGACAAATTCCTCTCATATATTTCAATTATACGAAAACAATCTCGCCACGTTGTTTCTCGCGATGACCGAGAAATTGTGCTCGTTATGGTGTCTCGCTCGATGTTAGGTTAGGAGTCCCATGTGTTCTTGACTGTCCGAGTGTGACCACGGTAACTCCGGAACTACATGATGAATATTATTTAAACATCTCCACAAGTATCGACAGTAGTTGGTGGCATTATATACTATTAATGTGTGTATTGCCCTCGTGCAACAAGAGAGAGCCGGCCCAAAAGGGCCGCAAGGCGTGAATCTGTTTAAGGTGTAGAAGCTGTCGCCAACACAACAACCACACCCTGAGTTAACGAGAGCTGCATGACCCAGTGTCAAGGAATGGTCGAAGACCGGACAACTCGCTAACTGCTAGCTAACCAATACGGAACACGATCCTGCAATCGTTAACGTCGGGATCTCAATTCTTTGCTGGTGAACGAGCAAATGCGCAAAGAAACTTGCCCATAGTTTCACCCTGCCCTGGGATTGAGCCCTGGTTTGCTTGCTTGCGAGGCGAGCATGCTGACCATTACAAGGTACATACACCAGCACACCAGGCACACACCGAGTTGCTACACGCGTCTAGTACTTGTTACTATTATTATTGTTGTTGTTACACGGAAACAAATGAGAGAGAGAGAGAGGGCGTATTGAATCATAATGACCCACTATGACCTGGCTATGTGACTGCCGCTGCTGTAAGATCTGGGGTAGTGCAATAGTTGTGTAACGTGTGACGATGACCTGACCTGGGGCACCACCGTGTGACTTGGGTCAATGACCTGAGGCACCACCATGGCAACCTAGGGCCTGAAATATGGCTCATTCACTACCTGTGACTCGACACGTAAAAGTTTACAGCTCAAACTGGTTCTAACGGAAGCTTATAGGTCACGACCGTCTGTTGCTGACACACACACTGACCTAAATGGAGAGAGAGAGAGAGAGGAAAATTTCACCATAACATATACACTGTTACCTAAGTCGTCATTCTTTATGTATCAATAATCCAAATATCATGGAGTCACAGGTTAACGTCTTCCGTAACTGGAAATAAAAGTTTACATCGAGTTAAAATTTAGTCAGTGTTATTTCATCGGCATAAAAAATAACCACTGGGCCAGGTAGATGTTCTTGCGGAACAAGTTATGATAATCTAGCTTTGTGGCGTTGCTTCCAAGTGACTCAGTTTGGTGCCATCCTATCAACTACAAGTTAAAAGGGAGCCACTTTAATCTTCATCTTTGTGCAGTAGTTTAAGTGACCCAGAGAGAGCTTACGAGAGATATTCTGTATATATCTTTTATATCCAGTTTGGTAAGGCGCTAGTGGCATATGAATCCCTGCATATAGTCTATAACCTGACTAATATTCTATATCTCCTTTCCAGTCTATAAAAGAATAGATCTGCATCTATCATGAGTCTAGAAACAGCTATTGTCATCCTACACATACTGTATAGTATACAAATATAACATTAAACACACACAAAAAATATAGGGCGACCGTGAACCTATTATGGGTGTCCTTCCTGCTGGGCCACTCGGTGATGTGGTGGACGAGATTATTGTAGGTAAGCTTGATAAAATAACATGCTCTTGGTATGTGGTGGAAGCGTATTCTCTGTCTCTCTCTCCCTCTGTACCTTTCTGTCTCTCCTCCCCGAAGTAACCTCGCCACACCTGCCCCTATTGACAATTACACAATGGCGTAATCCCAACATGTTAAAGATCGCTTTATGACAGATTACAGGGCGTCACCGCCATCAGGTGTCTGCTGACGTGACGCATGACACCTTAGTAACACAATACACAGCGCCGACACCCAGCTTTGGGGCGGCTGATATCCGTTTATCCTGTGTTTACAGTTTGAGGGTAACATTTGTTTTCTATCATTTATTTACGCAACCTGAAATAAATGACCGATCTGTGTATGAAGACGTTTGCCCTTCATTTTTAATCTTTACTTTCATCTTCGTCTTCATTTTCATTTATATCTCCATCTTAAAGGTCAGTCATCAGTAAAGGGAAACAAGGTACGAATCACATGAAAAAAGCCTGAGTCACTGGGTTAGAGACAAATTGTGTTACCACTGTACCACCAGCATCCTATACTTAAAGATTCTTGAAGTTAACTTTACATGAAGTGATAACACACCTAAGCCCGGCTTACAAAGTTACGACCCAAGGATGAATTCTCAAAGATAAATAGTTATATATTTTCCGTAACTGAAGATGTTTGAACATAATTAAGCGATTTACGACCCCACCTGTCTGCTGCACACCATACACCTCCCTCACCTGTCTGCTGCACACCATACACCTTCCCCTCACCTGTCTGCTACACACCATACCTCCCTCACCTGTCTGCTGCACACCATACACCTTCACTCACCTGTCTGCATTACCTTCCTCTGCACAAACACCTTCCCCTCACCTGTCTGCTACACACCATACACCTTCCTCACCTGTCTGCTACACACCACACTTCCCTCACCTGTCTGCTACACACCATACACCTTCCCTCACCTGTCTGTTACACACCATACACCTCTCCCTCACCTGTCTGCTACACACCATACACACCTTCCCTCACCTGTCTGCTGCACACCATACACCTTCCCTCACCTGTCTGCTACACACCACACCTTCCCCTCACCTGTCTGCTGCACACCATACACCTTCCTCACCTGTCTGCTACACACCATACACCTTCCTCACCTGTCTGTTACACACCATACACCTTCCCTCACCTGTCTGCTACACACCATACACCTTCCCTCACCTGTCTGCTACACACCATACACCTTCCCTCACCTGTCTGCTACACACCATACACCTTCCCTCACCTGTCTGCTACACACCATACACCTTCCCTCACCTGTCTGCTACACACCATACACCTTCCCTCACCTGTCTGCTACACACCATACACCCCTCACCTGTCTGCTACACACCATACACCTTCCCTCACCTGTCTGCTACACACCATACACCTTCCCTCACCTGTCTGCTACACACCATACACCTTCCCTCACCTGTCAAGAGTTTATCTCGGAAACTACTGTATATTTCTGACTCCCACTTTACAGTATATGCAGATTTTATTTTTTCACACGTGACTCGCCAGGATCCCCCCACGAGTCTCTTCAAGTACTCGTGGACTTACTTTCTCTCCTCAACACCTCACCTGAGCCAGAGTTCAGTCACCACTCCATCCCAAGGTAAACACTCGCCCATTGAGG